TCAGTGTGTGTGTGTGTGTGTGTGTGTGTCCAGAACAAGAACGAAGCAATTCATTTAGACAGCAGAGATATAAAGATGATTTATCCCTGTGAATGGTGAATGCCTAGCTTAGATGTGAGAAGTTGGAGCGAAATGTAAAAGAGGTTGTTTTTTTGTGGGGGTGAATAAAACACTTTGTAACACTGGACGTAGTGGGAAGGGGAGGGGGAATGTTACAGTTTATTACGGCAAAAGCACCCCCCTCCCCTCTCTCTCCCTGACACACACACACACACACACACACACACACACACACATACACACACACATACACACACACATACAAGATACAAACAAGCAAGCGACAGCAGATAAAATAGATCGCGGTGAGTACTAAGTATGACATTGAAACGTTCGGAGGCCCTGATTTAAACAAACACTATAAAGCTTCTGACTGAGTGCTGCGCTGTGTGATTATTGAACCTGAACCTCTCCGGATATCCAGATCTATGTTCTTGAAACGACACAGGAATACGAACATTACGGGAACCAGAACGACACAAATACCGACACAGCGCAAACATCCAACCGACACGGAAACAGGACGACACGAGCACAGAAGCCAAAGTTGTAAAGAAACAAATCAAGCCCAGTGATACTTAGATCTAGATTGGAATTCATCAATGACAAGTACTAAAAAAACCCACAACTAAAACGACAACCCATTCAGTGGTAATTTGATCATTGAATAGGTTTAGCGCACACTATAGGTTTATTTTAAGAGGCATTGCCGGCTCCGAATTTGACGTCCATCTCCGATAGGACTAAGTCAAAAGAATGGAAAACCATTAAAGGCTCCCCAAAACAAACCAAGTTCATAAAGCCAAACTAGAAATTCGAACCATGCTCTGCAACCAAGATAAAACTACATGCCCAAAAATAAGAAAGCCTCCACAGTCCCAATGGTTTCATGTTAGCGTACGTCACAGCTGACTCTGGTTTCATCCACAGTGTATCGTTCTTGAGCCTTGCATGTTCCAGGGGGCGGG